TCTGTCTGTTCCTAAACATTTCTGCTGTTTTCTTGACTTGAAAAAACCCTTTGACGTCACTAGAACCACACCCCTGTTGGTTGCTTCAACCAATCAGGACTTCCTAAAAGTGACCAGAAGCAGAACTCTTTAAAAGTCGACACTTCCTGGAACTGTTAGGCTTTTCTATGTCTGCTCAGTCTTCTGACTTCTTCTGAGTCTTTCTGGAGTACTGTGGAGTAGTTCTGGAGTTTTTCCACTGCTGAGTGGAACTTCGCACTCAGTTTTCCTGGCTGATGGAGTCATCTATCTCTGCAGGAGTCACGGCGCCTCGCTGTGGCTCCACCCGGCGAATGCCCTATAACTGCTGAGGAAGTTTGTTCTGTAGAACGGAGTATCTCACGACTTCTGCCGAGTCGCAGCCACCCTGAGGAGACGCTGAAAGGTAGTGTGCCAGGGACCTCTTGACTGCAGCGGACCCATTCTCTGCCAAGGTAAAGAGTCGTTCACGAACTTCACTACAAGTGTACCGCGGTGAACTGTGCTTGAAAGGAGCGTGTTGTTCTGGTCTACAGACATAAATCTTCCTCCATATATTTCCTTTAAACTCCTCCATAATTTCTCATCTTTAAACTTCTATCGTGCCAGTAATTAATCCAGATGCCTTCAGAAATGTCTGTTGTTTTTATTATGTAAAACATGCCAAGTTTTATTAATCAGAACCAGATCAGTCTAATCAAGTGTACAATGTTTTGATGTTAAATTTTGATTCTGTTCAATAAATGACCACATTTATTTTGATGGGTCAAAGAAAATTAACGTCTCATGTCACTGATTAAACCATCTACGCACAGTACCTCTGTCACATATCTCTAAAGTTGCTCGAAAAAGAGAGAACCCGTTAATTTAAAATATGACTGTAGTAGAGCTCTGAAGCTAATCGAGCCTTTTAGCACACTACATTGATAAACATTCCTAAGGCCAACCCACAATTTCTTTTTCTCTCCAGTTGATGTGAGGATTGTGTTTGCCAAGACATGTGGCACCAAGAATGACAGGTAATTGTGGGGAGTTAATAACAAAGAACTTTAATTGTTTCTTGGTGGTTGCCGCTGAGCTTTAAAGTGATAGGTACATTTTCAAGATGGGCTTTGTGCAAAGAGTGTCCATCTAAAGCCAGGATCTTATGGAGTTTGGTGGTTTGAACCAGTTCAATCCCCATAGATTTTGCAAACTGATCAATAAATTTGGTGTCAGCTCCAGAGTCGATAAATGCAGAGACGGGGAAAGACTTCTCACCTTGTACTTGGATCTCAGCTGGTAAAGTGAACAATGAGGTGGTCATGGGATGTCTGATATGACTCAGTAGGTTCCTCTTTCCTGTAGAGTCTGGTCTTTTTTTTTTTTTTTTTTAATTTTTATTTATCAGGAGAATATATAATTGACATTACATACATTAAACAGAATTTACATGACTTCTCCAATTTTTTCTTTTTTTTTTCCTTCCCCCTTTCCCCCCTCCCTCCCCTCTTCCCCTCCCTCCCCTTCCCCCC